AAAAAAAAAAAAAAAAAGGAAAAAAACCTGGCTTAATTAATTTGCAACTATTAAATTTTCTCATGTATGATTTGGTCATTTTATCAAACAGTTTGCCTACATTTTTATGTTTTTAGTAAACTCACCTTTAAATATAGAGATCTCCAGCTGCCACTTTGTCAAATTTTTTTTCCCGTCACTGTTAGGCATAAGGGATTTTTTGAATAAATCCAGTAAATCCAGCTCAGCCCAGGCATTGTGCCCCAGAACATCGACGTCCATTGCTTGGCTAGCTTAATTGAATGATGAGCTCGTGCTGTGGATTTCGATTGGAAGATGGCAGAAACACATGAACTATTATGACTGTGTGCAATTAGGATATATAGTATTTGTTTTTATGCAAAGAAATTATAGAACCAAAAAAGAAAAAAAAAAGAAGAGAAAATTGAAAAAAAAAATGGATGTTTTTCTTGAGGAATTTTAGATGGGTGCAAATGCTCCTCACAGGCATTTTGGAGATCCATCTCAAAACAGGTGTTTTCTTCCACACCTTCTCTTTCTACACGTGCCACTCTTCATTAACACTACCTTAACAATGCTATAAAATATTAAGTCAAACAAGGTAAATAGAGTTGTCCCAATGTAATACTCTTGTGATAAAATTGTATCATAAACATGTTTAGCAGAGATCAAGTAAGTGACATATTATATTATCTCTCATTTTCTCATTTATTATTTCCAATGTTGAGCTCGATTGTTTCTTTTAAAACTCGTAAAAAAATGTTCGCAAGTTCGGCTCGTCTAATAAAAGATATATACAACATATACTGTTTAACATGACATTGTAGTTAGGGACGGAGCTAGAATTTAAAATATACTCGGGCTAAAATATCTTTAAACTTCATTGTTGATGCAATAAAGCATTATCATAATTCATACGCACCTTTTTATATAAATAAAAGGTCAATTTAATTTGTTTTACAAGTAATTCCCAACAAGTAATTTAGTTTTGTAGGAATATAACAGAAAGAACAGAACTCTCAATTTAATATCTAATAAGAGCCTGGAATTTAAAGTGATTTGATGTATGGTTTAGTTCATTTGCCTATAATTTTCAATTATCAGTATTGGACTAAAATATAAAATATAATTTTTTATAATATATTAAATATATATTATTTAACTATAAGTATGTGGAAGTCACCCGGGATGAAGCCCGGGCATGAGCACACAAGGTACATTCGAGGAGATATCAATAAGGTCCCATCATAATGATTTCTCAATAGTCATCCAACTTAAAGAAGAGTTCCAATGAAGGTTTATGCTCAACAGTCATCCAACTTAAAGAAGACATTGCATTTTTAACTACACATTTTCTGAAACCAGTTGCTACAAAATTTGGAATCAGTTGGCAGACATGTAACCCGCTTATAAGTCAATGAATAGTTTTTGCTCTAATTTTCACCAAAAACTGCAGCAAATGCAAGAGTTAAAATTACGAAACATAGTAATGTCAGATGTTTCCTCATCTTTCACCATAATCGGACACATCTCTCTCCCAACACACGGGGAATTAGATAAAGAAAGTAGACAACCTAATAAACAAGACACAAAATTAAGATGCGACATAAATCAAAAAAGTACTGGAATGCGAGCAGTGGCATCTTGACGAGATTCGAGAAGCATAGCAATGTCGCGCCTCATCTGCCTAATCACCACCTCTCTCTTGTTCCTCAGCAACTTCACTCTCGCAACCGCCATTTTCGCCATTGTTTTGCATTTAGAGGGGTTAAAGGAGCGGAAGAGCGACATAATACCCATTTGGAACACCTTTTTACAGTGTCGACCGCCGGCGCTTCTCAAAGTCATTTTTTCAGTAGCTGCCCTGCTTATGTATGTATGTAATGTAAGAGGCAGCCAATAAGGTCCCATCATAAAAAATAAACTTATTTCCTATACAACCATCAAAAGCTCTATGAACTTAGTCACCAAAACAGGACACAAGAAGCCATCAATAAGCTCTATGTACTGTACTAACAGAAATAACCATAACAGGACACAAGAAGCCACCAAGCATGATAACAAATCTCAAAATTCAAAATCCAATCCAATAATTTTACAATTGATATAGTTATGATCCAACATTAAAACATGATAACAAGGCACAATAATAAGATGACCCAAACTACCGCCCCTAATTTGAAAGAGCTGTTACCTCTTCGTATGCTGGCATAATCAGACTCTATTTTCAGATGACCTCCACATAAATCTGAATTTAACGGACAAAGTGGCACAAAATAATTACAGCTATACTAAAAACATATTCCCAAGATAACAAGGAAAAGAAAGTCCAAAAATAGCAAGAAACGAGAATAAAATCATCCACGGAGCACTTATTACTGATGAGCTAACTCTATGGCGCGCACGTGGAGTAGGCCTTAAAAGTTGATTCTTTTGGAGCCTGCGAAAACATGAGCTCAAACAATCAAATTTAACTACAAGCTTGTCTAAATTAACAATTGCGAAAGTACAATAGTTTACTCCAATACTAAAATCTAAATGCAGTTATGAATGCTCCACACATGAAGAGAATTTCAGGATCATGGTAAAAAATAGATTATGGCAAAAGAAGAAAAAAGGAAAAGGAGAGGTAAAGGGAAGATAAAACCAATTCAATGTGGAGCCTTTTTATCTAGCTCTCAACTTTTGGATGTCATTTTAAAATGTTGCTACACATCTCAGTATACAAAACAAACTAGTCGTGTTAGTAAAAAGATGATAGCATTGATAGATGACAAGAACATAAACAATCAAATTTAGATTTCTACTAAAAATGTCTTACAGGAGCTTGTGTGTGCAACAGGCTTTTTAATCGAAAAATAACCTAAGTTTTAAGCAAGTTCACAATAAAATCAATAATCAATGACCACATTGAAAAAATAATAGAATGGAACCTGGTAGAGAGAAATCTAATGGGGACAATGAACATTTGGCAGCAAGTCCTTGACAAATAATCAAAATGCCCAGCACAAATCCATCAAAATTGGAGAATACAACTAGAGTGGAAATGAAAAAAGATAAGAAAATTAAGATATTTCATTAAGAAAAAATATGGATAACCACATATTACTTATATCCCATACTCACTTATCAACCATCGCTTTCACTAGAGGCAGAACCAAACTCAAAGCCTTCTGCAATTTTAGTACTATCATATTCCTCACTACTTTCACCTGATTCAGAAACCATATCGTCTTCGTTTACTTTCTCCAATTCTACTTTATCTACTTCTTCAAAATAGTCACCTCCCTGTACAATCTCTTCATTGTCCAACTCTGGACTTATTGGCACCAACGGGATATTATTTATGGGCGACTCTTCTTGAAAAGCAAGGTCATCTACCACACTGAAATCTTTATTCTCGGGGACGACACCTCGTACATCAATCACATGACGTGCTTTTGTTTTGACAACAGCCCACACATATTGTTTATCTTTAGAAGCGGACGGGAAGCTTGTATAGTACACTTGCTGAGCTTGTTGAGCTAGTACGTATACATCAGTTGAGAGCAACTTCTTTTTATGGTTGATCTCAACAAGATTGAAAATAGGATGTACCTTGACACCCTTTTCATTGTCAAACCAATCACATTTGAACAATGTTACTCTATTGTTGCTCCCGATATACTCCAATTCCAAGATTTCGGTTAGAACCCCGTAATAGTCAACTTCAAACTCATTATAACAACTTCCCAAAACACACACACCACTATTTTGTGTAGCTTTGGTTAGACCATGACAATGAGTATGAAATTTATAACCATTTACGTAGTATCCATTGTATGATCTAACATTTCGAGAAGGACCCATTGCCATATCTCTTACGCGATTATCTATTTCATTCTTATCATCAGACACCTGCACATGATCCAACTTTATATTAACCAATAGTAGTAAAGAATAAACATATTTAGTTAAACAACATAAAATAAGACATGACTTACAAAATCTCTCAGCCATCGTGGAAAATGACTCTCTCTTAGGTGATCAAGTTCTCGTTCTGATATACTAGGTCGCTCCGTTCTTATAAAATTATCGAACTCACTGCACAAAAATTTAACAGCATAGCAAAATAGAGTCAATCATAACTGATAAATCGTATAACATACTATATTTTAAATATAAATTTATGTTATTACTCATAAGACTTACGTGACAAATGGGGCGATTTCTTGACAGTTTAGAAGCACATATAATGTCACAGCCTTGTGCTCCTCAGATGTGAGGAGTTTAAGATTTGAACTTTGGCTGCCAATTGGACGTCCTGAATTGGCGAACACTGACAAGCAATCAAGAGCCTCAACATTACCTCCATCGTCATTTCTTGGTGCACGGTTGAATCTCGTTTCAATGTTATGGTCAAAATACATTGAACAAAAGTTCGACGTCTCCTCAATCAAGTATGCCTCGACAATAGATGCTTCCACTCGAGCTCGATTTGTGACCTTTTTCTTCAGATGGTGTAAGAATCTGCATAATAAAAATCATGTTTGTATCATCATTATTTTTAGAAGACAAGAATACTCAACATAAATCTTACAGTGGACTTAAAACCTTCAATTTGAACTTTTTCAAGATCATTTAAATGTTTACAAAAATTGTGACATAAATAATTATATGCATAAAGTAAAATTTCAAAAATTTCTGTAGAAATATTTTCATGAACTGATTCTGCTTATTGAAGCAGTAAATGGAAAAATAGTATATAATTATCATGTGTGTTAATTGAACTAACAAGCAAATATACGACTTAACGAGATAATCCAACAGAATGGGCACTAGAACTACATTCAAAACAGATTATTTGACAACAGGTAAACTTAATAGTACAATACACATAGTAGATCAACACAACATCTTCAGACAAAAATATAAGATTCAATATAAAAAAATAAAAAAAAATACCTTTCAAATGGATACATCCAACGATACTGCACCGGACCACCTACCTTAGCTTCATAAGGTAAGTGTGCAGGCAAATGCTCCATAGAATCAAAAAATGACGGGGGAAATATCTTTTCTAACTTGCATAATGTCACTATGATATTTTCTTCGAGACGTTGCATGTCTTCCACTTTCACCGTAGTGGAGCATATATCCCTAAAAAAGTGGCTCACTTCCGTTAAAGCTTCCCAAAATGGCTTCGGCAGCGTATTCTTAAATGCAATGGGCATCAGTCTTTGCATAAAAATATGGCAATCATGACTCTTCATTCCGAACAATTCTGAATCATCTTTTACGCAACGTGCAATGTTTGATGCATAACCATCTGGCATTTTTAAACTTTTAATCCACCTAAACACTTCTCGTTTTTCCTCCTTCTTCAAGGAATAAGAGGCATGCGGCTTACAAAACTTTCCTCTTTCGTTTTGGGTAATATGAAGTTGTGGACGCTTACAATAAATTTCCAAATCCTTTCTCGATTTTATGTTGTCTTTAGTTTTGCTCTTAATATCCATGACTGTGTTAAACACATTATCAAAAAAATTCTTCTCTATATGCATCACATCCAAATTATGTCGTATCAAATTGGTATGCCAATAAGGCAAATCCCAAAATATGCTTCTCCTCACCCAATTATGTTTTCGTCCAAAACCATCTATTTTTGAGTCTTTCATAGATGTGCCATTAACAACATCGGGAAGCTTATCAACAATCTCCCGCATCTGCTCACCAGATAATCTAGGTGCCGCCACATCCTTTTCTATTCGACCCTTAAAAAATTTTTCGCGTTGTCTCCTGAAAGGGTGATCCGATGGTAAAAATCGGCGATGACAATCAAAGAAAGATGTCTTCTGTCCGAACTTAAGCCTGAAAGATTTTGAAGAATCCATACAATATGGACATGCCAATTGACCATGTGTGCTCCATCCAGACAACATACCATAAGCGGGAAAATCACTAATAGTCCACATTAAAGCTGCTCTCATTTGAAAATTTTGATTTCTATGAACGTCAAATGTGTCCACACCATCATGCCACAACATTTTCAGTTCATCAATTAACGGCCGTAAATACACATCAAGATTTTTTCCAGGACTTTTTGGTCCAGGAATCACCATGCTTAGAAACATACTATTCTGGTTCATACACATCCACGGTGGCAAATTATAGACAGTGATAATAACAGGCCAACAAGAATACTTTGATCCAGAAGTATTAAAAGGACAAAATCCATCCGTACATAAACCTAACCGAACCCCACGAGGATCAAGGCCAAAAAGTGGGTATGTTCTATCAAAATGCTTCCAAGCTTCACTATGTACAGGATGTGACATTCCACCATGAGTACGACTATTTTCTGCATGCCATATCATATGCTTTGAAGTATGCCTAGACATAAATAGCCTTTGCAAGCGAGGAGTAAGAGGTAAGTACCTAAGTACTTTGTTTGCGACTTTTTTCCCACGTTTTTCTTTGAATCGTGGGTGCTTACAAATGGGACACTCCGTCATTTTCTCATTTTCCTCATAGTATAGAATGCAATCGTTGACACATGCATGTATCTTTTTAACCCCAAGGCCAAGACTCCGCAACATTTTTTTCGTTTTATAAAAATTCTCCTCAAGCTTATTATTTTCTGGAAGCATACTCTTTATTATGGATATAAGACGATCAAAACAAGCTCCCGACATATTGAATTCTGACTTACAGTTCAATAGCTGAGAAGTAGCAGAGAGTTTAGTCTGTTTATTGCACCCTGGCCACAATGGTCGATCAACTTCTTCCAACAATCTAAAAAATTCTTCAGCATTAGGATTTGGAACTTCTTCGCCGCTATCTTCATGATATGCCCTGTATAGTTCTGGTCCCATTGCATCCAAAACCATTGTCTCTGTATCGTGGTCTTTCGAATTGTGTTCAACTACTTTTCTTTTAGAATTCACGCTACGAAAAGGCTCCCCATGTGCATCCCAATTACTGTAACCACTGAGAAATCCATAGTTGTAAAGATGGTACTTTATATCTTCTCGATCACGGAATTCTGTATTGCGACAACGTCCACAAGGACACCTAGCTCATTTTCTAACTCCTGTAGGTGAAAATACAAAATCAAGAAATTCGTCCACTCCTTTAATAAATTCGTCTGAAAGTAAACCATCTTCGTCTCGAGGGTTCAACATCCAACTCCGATCAGAAGACATCCTGTAAATTAATGTTTACAAATAGATCATTAAATGTGAAAACATGCTAAATTTATGAAATAATTAACCAATTTACATACTCAGACATAGCATTAACAAAATATGAAAACAAAATCAAGATGGGGAACATGTACTAATTATTAATTAGAATACATATTAAATTTATTTGTCAAACAAAGGAAACAAAAAAAGGAAAAGAAAAGAGGCGCATACATATTTGGACATTTTGTTGAACACTTTGCCTACAAAAGGTAGAAGGCCACTGAGGTAAGGATAGCATGATTACTGGTTGCTGGCCCTATTTCCATTTTATCTAGATAGTTTGTAACACTTAATGATTTACTGGTTGCTGGCCCTATTTCATTTTGCTGGTTGCTGGCCTTAATTAAACTCTATTGAACTGTACAGTGCTTTTCTCAATAAAAGAAAAGGCCTACTCTTTCCGCTAAGGTCAACTTCTGATATTAGTCAGAGTTGGAACTCCTGTAAGGTCGGTACTAGGAATCTATCAATATCCATCCGGGAATAAAGAAAGAATCAATGCGGCGAGCAGTCCACTGATTATTATAGCCTCGAGACTGCCTTCCCTAATCGAATGTGAGGCCTAGGGATCCCTACAGCTAGTAGTCAGAGTCTCCCCTGCTATGTCTGTAGCAAAGTCCAGCGCTTTCCTTGCTATTTCCCTGTTTTCTCTAATCTCCTATTTTGTTTAACTGGATTGTAATATACCTTCACCCTTCAATACATTACATATTCCCTCCCTATATTAGAAAAAAAAAAGTTTATTTACCTCCATTAACGTAAAAGTAAACCAAAATATCATAATCAAACAATTAGATAAGTCGATCGGTTAACCGAGTTTTTACAAAAAAATATTTTTTTCGGATTGTTTACTGGGCCCAAACAAGGTTTTTACATAGGGCACAAACACTATTGTCTATACAACAAAATTACAACCTAAAAACATATCCAAATTAAACATTTCAATTTCTTATACCTGCAAGTGCGAATCTGTGACCACAGGCTAATGTTATTGTCACATTATCTTAAGCACAAAACTTCAGCCTACTCTTGCACATTCAAAAGCTAACCATAAACAGGCTCTACAAATATAATAAATTTGTTCCAAAAATTCCAGAAAACTAAGCATATACTTGCCATCCTCATCTATAAGCAAGCAATCTCCATGTTAACCTTCTTAAAACATTACATTATAAAATTTGATAAAGAAAAAGTTGCATAAGATATAACTAAAATAAAATAAAAAAAAGCAGCATAGTTTTCTTCAAATTGGTTAACCTCAAGGCAATTCAATAACAATTACAAATCCGCAAGGACCGCAACAATACAAGTCCGGCAAAAACCCAAAAAAAAAAAAATGACCGACGAAATGACGAATCGACGACCTTAAATAAAGATTCCTCTTGAACTTACCGAAATAGACGAATCGACGACGGGTGAAATAGGAGTTCTTGAGTCGCTGACGTGCTCTTTGAGTTGCAGACGAACGCGACTACTTCAACCGGAGAAAACGATTGGGGGATAATTTGGATTGGGACAATTTGCGGCGGAGGAGCAGCGGCGGCGGCGGAAGATTTGGGGACGGCGGAGGATTTGGGGAAGAAACGAGGTGACGAAGGAGATGAGTAGGGAGGAAAGACGATGTATTCTGATTTCTTTATGTTTAGGATTATAGTAAATATTTTATTATATATATTATATATTATACAATATATATAAATATTTATATATTATATATAATATATAATATATAATATATAATATATATATTATATTTATATAAATATATAATTATATTCGGTCGGTTCAGTTAATTTGGACATTTAAAGTCCGAAAATCAAAACAGACCGAAATATCCGAACAATTAAATAATAAAAACCGAAAACCGACCGAGTCGGATAAAAACCGAACCGAAATTTTATGTTCGGTCGGTTTTAGTCGAATTATGCATACCCCTAAATATATGTATAATATTGTCTAGTTTCAGTTGGGTTCGGTTCAGTTCAATCTATTTTTCTCCAAAAAATTATGTAGTTCATATCACATGAAACAATTAATCCTTGTGACAATAATAACAAAAAGAGAATTAGGCGTGGTGCTCCCACACCGTCGTGCCCATCAAGGAGTTCCGAGAGCTCCTATATGTCGATTTATTTATTTATTTTTGTATGTCAAGACAAAATTGTAAGCATCATAGAATCCGATTAAGCGGACTTTTAGCGTATTATTCATTAACCATCTCTCTAAGCGAGTATTTACATGAGGCAATAAAATGATCTACTACTTGAACTTTCATATAAGAAAGTGGGACATTTGGTTTAGCTCATTTAGTCTAATTCAAGCAATTTTCTCAAACTAGCTCTGCATGAACCTTAACCTAATGTCCGGGGCTTGTAAAGACGATCAAC